ACAGTGGATAAAGGCGTTGGTTAGATCCAGTGACAGGACCGAAAGAGTGTGAGTTCAATACCCGGTTAGCCATTTTGTTTAAACTCTTCTGGTGTCTTATGAAGTGATGGTGTTGAATGTAGACTAAAGGGTATACTTGTTTTGTGTGTGTGTATATATATATATATATATATATATATATATATATATATATATATAGAATGTAGACTAAAGGGTATACTTGTGTGTATATATATATATATATATATATATATATATATATATATATATATATATATATATATATATATATATATATATATATATATATATATATATATGTATATATATATGTTATCACTTTTACATATGATTACCCAGACTCACATTCCAAGTCCGCCATTTTTATACGAAGAGAAACGTGTTTTCAGACCTCAAACACAGCTATGCATACGCCTGCAATATATCTAATAACATAGAATACCATTAGTTATAAAAGAATTTCGCCATTTTGAAACGCAATAATATAAAAAAATATTGTTGAGTTTTATTTGAATTTTGTCCATGTTCACTATTTAGTTTCGTTCAAAACATGTTTGTTTCGTATCGTTTATTCATGAAAAAATTGTGAAATTCTCATATTTGGAAAAATGAGTTTTACATGCCATTAATTACGGGTTTTTTTTCCTATTTGATATATAAGACAGAATATAGTAGTAATCTTGACATCTGAACGCGTCTGCAACAAAATATTAACTTAATAATTACATCTTCATTGCTGTTGTTAAAAAAAAAAAAAAAAAAAGAAAGGAGATTATAGCGTAGCGTACGTACGAAATTATAGCATCGGGTCGATTCACTAAATGTAGCAGGAACACCAAAATATATAGGTACTACTACTACTATTTATATTAAATGATTCTTCCACGTACAGGATTCAAGAAATAATAACAACTCCAATTTGTTAATCAACAAATATATATTGAATAAAATACAACAACAAGCATGAAATAAAATCGTATTCACAATGTAGATTAAAGAGAAGTAAGTCCTTTCCCCTTGACTGTAGATTGATTGTAATCAACCGTTTGAAGAAAGTTCTCTTGTGAGATAAATGTTCCGAAATAATTGTTTGAGCAAAGTTTGCATGTGAAGAATGAATAACACCAAGAATACAATTGTTTGAAATGTGTTGTGAATAAACTGGTTTGAATCAACAAAGTTCTGGTTGATTGTGCTTGGCAAAAGTTACAGAGAGAAAATGTAAGTTTGTAGTTACGAAATTCTATGTCTGTGTGTGCATTAGTCTGATGAGCAAGATCGTAGATTTGTGTTGACGGCTGGGATCTTACTGGCCACTTGCGAAATGTCGCCCTATTTAAGGAAAAGAGGTAGGCTCCCACGAAACCGCGGGAAAACTTGATCTTACATTAAAAATATGTGGTTGGTTAAAAATTAACCAATCACTACACACGTATTAAACACAATAGGTAAGTATGCTCAGAACCAAAAAAATTCAAAGGAACGACTGCGATGGCTAAATTGTTCTATACAAAAGTAGTAGTAATTTATTAGCCAATCGCAGACGAATAAAATGACTTGAAATGTATGTGGGTGTGAAAAACATAGCAACCGCTATAATAGATTGAAGGTCGTCAGTTCAACATTGATGAATCGTTTTTATGAAGTTAATCATTTTATCTGATTCGAAAAACTTATTTTTGTGGCAGTTATTACAAGTTTACTGGATTTTGATTTGATATTTTCACTGTTTAATGTTCACTCTTCAAAGCAGAATTAATCTCCCTGTTTGTCAAGGCACGTACAGTAAAAAGATGTTTACTGTTTCAAGTAAATCCTTTTTTTTAAGACCGCCAATTTATTGATATATCTACTTATATTTGATTGGTCGGTAAATCGTAACTTAAAATATTTAATTTCTCTTTAACAAAATGCCATAAACAAGGGAGATAACCTCTGCTCGAAATTAACTTAATCGAATCTGAAAGTCAAGTAAGCATTTTAGATAAAATCGCCGATTTTACAAAGGATGCCATTCTATCATGAAATATGTGAATTTTCTTGACAGTTCTTTAGTTATAGCGAACTCACAAACCATTATTTTATTCCATTTTTCTCATTGGATTTACTTATCAAGTTGTCTTTCAATTATTTTCACACTTACATCGTAAGTACGATCCATTATTTGTGGTCGCAACTCCTTGGCATTTGCAAATTGCTGTTTTCAGTTTAGAATTGGTTCATCCTTGCTGTTGTAGTTAGCTGTATTGCTTATCAGCCACCATCAATCAATGTATATCCATCCAATGACTCAGTCTGTTGGTGCTTGCCTACAAGAGGAGAGCTTATCCCCGATCCAAGTTTTTTTTAATTATTTTTCTCATTGATATATGCTCCTTGATCGCCGTTAGGAGATTGTGCTTCTTGTGTTAATAAAAGAAATCTACCATATAAATTAGTCAAACAACTACAACGCTTTCACATCAACTCATATAGCACTTATCAGACAATAGTACCACAAAATCTCATATTAATCAATATCATATTTTTACCAATATTAGACATACTCAGTGACAACAGAAAAAATGTATAAAATTAATAAATTTAAAAATGTAATTGCTTGAAGTCAGAATAATTAAAATAAAAATGACTATATTAAAAAAATTTTGAATTAATTTTGTGATAACAATGAAAGCATTTGTTTGCAATATTCTCAAAGAATAAGTGACAAAAGTTGAATTCTCGTGATATTGTAATCAAATTGAACAGTTTATTTTATGCATATTCCAGGGAAGTGACAAATTTGATAATGGGAAAGAATATTTTAACATTATTACCTGAATATGTATGAATAGGTGTGGACCTCAGTGTGAATAAATTGATGAGCCATAAGTGTCCAAAAAAAAAAAAAAAAAATAATAATAATCTGAGTCTCTACTCCCCGGCCCAAGGATTGAACTCACCATGACTATGTCGCCAAACTTACGAACCTACACTTTAATCTACTAAGCAATTCCTAACATCGAACGAAGAGCCTTAAACTTAATTATTGCCTGCCTATTGGTGCTGCCGTCGCGCATGACCTCCTTTGCCGCCGCTTCTCTTTCCTAACTGCTTCGGAGAAATAGCGACCAATAACTGAACAGTACTAAAAAGAATAATATAAACAGTTATCACTAGATATGGTCAGTGGAATATGAACAATTTATGTCCATATATATATTAAATGCTGGGCTCAGTTCGAAATTCCTGAAGACGGCTGGCGTACGCAACGGTTGAAGCGTTGTCATAACAGCGACAAAGATGGGGACCATTAATCTGAATGCCAATAATAACTTCACATCCCAGAAATTCAAACAGGAAAAAAAATATTACTGTAAATAATTTCATTTTCTAAACACGTTAAATATTGTGACATATCGTGACTGTACTTGACATTAATGTTTGTCATAAAACTTTACAGGCTTCGTCATAAAACATGTGAACATTTTGTACTGTATTTTTATTTTGAGGAAAGCAGACAGGATATTCTTCTATTTTAATACAAAGACAAGAGCTTGTTTTATGTACCGTACCCCTCCAGGACGTACGTGATTATAGCTCTTCACAACTTCTTCGCACTGAGTCCATTGGATTTGTAAGGGCCTATTGGTTGAAAGATTTATTTTTGGAACATTGGGGTTACCAATTGTAAAGGTGTCCGTTTGTATATAGACCAATACTATTTATATTATTATACTTTCAACGTACAGGATTCAAGTAAACAACAAAAACTCCAAACTGTGAATCAACAAGTATATATTGAAATAACATATAAGAACAAACATGCAATAAAATTGTATTCAATGTATAGATCAAGGGGAAGAAGTTGTTCCCCTTTAATTGTATTTTGATTTGTAATTGATTGTTCGAAGAAAGTACTTTTTGAGAGAAAAATGTTCAGGAATCAGTATTAGAACAAGGTCTGTTTGTTAGAATAGATAACACAAGAATACAATTGATCAAAAATGTGTTGTGTTATAGAATGGTTCGAAATTAACAGAGCCCTGGTTGGTAGAGCTTGGCTAAGTCACAGAGAGAAATGTAAGTTTATATTACGAAATTCTGTGTCTGTTTGTTATGAGCAAGATCATGGACTTGTACTACAGGTGAATTTTACTGGATCTTACTGATTACTTGTGTAAAAGTCGCCTCTTTTATGGAAAAAGGGTAGGCTTCCACGGCAACGCGGGAAATGATTAATCTTGGACTAAAATATGTGATTGGTTAAAAATTAACCAATCACTACATTCGTACTAACAGAACAAGCAAGCAAGCTCAAAACCGAAGGATTCAAAGAAACGACTGCGGTGGCTAAATTGTCCTATATATAAGTAGTAGTGATTTATTAGCCAATCGCAGGCGAATAAAATGTGGGCGTGCAAAAATATAGCAATCGCTACAGATTCATATCTACCCCGTTGTGAAGCCAAATATGTTTTTCAATAGCTTTTTAAAAGTTTTTTTCAATATTTGTGATGGTTCAAAATTAAATAGAAAAATGGATATGACATAGCAGGTTAGCATTTTTTTTTTTGTTTCTAACGACATTTTCCTGTTTCTTAATACTTTGTTATGCTTTTCAGCTTTTGAAAGGTACTTTCGCTATTCCAACTTATCTTCTGATTTCTGAGTCTTCCCAGATATTTAAAGTTTAAAGTATTGCTTGCTTTTGACGTCTCCAATTGGAATCTAACAGTTAAAATTTAACGATAATGGTTACAAGAATAAAAGAGCGTTGAATTTTTCCTAATCCTTCTTTGTGGTTTCACCTTAGGCTTTAGTCTTTCTTTACATTTCCTAGAAGACAGTTGGTTATGAGGAGTTTATTAGAAAACGATCCGTAGTATCCAAGTTGACTATACGAAAATGACATTTATGTGTGTGTGTGTGTGTATTACCTTCACTGTATTCGAAATCAATCAATCCGCATGACACAATCTTACCATTTACCTACCAATATGATTGTTTCGTGGACACCTGCTGCACGTAGGGTGGGTCGGGGACTGCTTCTTCGGGGAAAGGTTTCTTTTCTTTGATTTATTTAAATTTTTATCGACTTGCTCATTTCTAGAATCTTCCTAACAACTTACTTTATCTGTCACATTGGATTTTTTTCTCTTTCTCTTCAACGTCGTCGCGACTTTGTTTCTCGTCTTTTTTTCATTCATTTTCTCTTTTCTTTCTTTGTCATTTTTGCTTTTGCTCCCCAATGTTTTGCCTTTATTGCTTTATTTTCTATTCCCTTCTTCGCCCCCCTCCCCACCTCTTCCTCTTTTGTCCTTTTCTCCCTCTCTTCCTCCTCTGCTCCCTTCACTCTCTCTTCACCCTTCCCTTTTCCCCCTCTCGCCATCTCTTCCTCTTTTGCCCACTTCTCCGTCTCTTCCTCCTTTGTCCCCCATCTCTCTCTTCCTCCTTTCTCTTCCTCCTCTGCTCCCTTCATCCTCTCTTCCTTCCCCCTCCCCTCTTTTCCTTTTCCATTCATATCTTCCTCTTTTGCCCTCTTTTCTCCTTTGTCACCATCTCTCTTTCTCCTTTGACCCCTCTCTTCCTTCTTCCCTCTCCCCATCTCTTCCTCTTTGCTCCATTCCAGCTCTTTTCTTCTCTTTCTCTACTCCTCCCTTTCTTCCCTCTTTCACTCATTTCTCTCTTTCCTACTCACTCCCTTTTCATATCCTTATCTGCCGCTGTCTTAAGTTCATCACTCATTCAACTACTCATCCCCCCGTCTTCTCTCCTACTACTCCCTCTTTCCCTCTCCCTTCCGTCCATATCCCCACTCGCTAATTACTTCTTCTCTTTCTGCCTCAAACGCATAAGATTTTTTTTAAAGCACAAGTGGGTGATGAAAACGGTCCGTTCAATCAGGGAGAAAAAAGATTATTTCGCGTCGAACCGAGAACTTTTCAATACCCACTTCATATACCCGTACTTATGAAAAAAAAAGTTTTTTTTTTAAAACTTATTTTCAAACTTTCGTTATTGGGTGGGTATTTTTTCCCCCTCTTAATTTATTGATTAATCAAAAAATCAACTTGTGTTGCTAAAAATTGTTGTCTTCCGGGGTCAAATCTCAATTTACTCAGATGTTGTTCTAACCTACTTTTTTGTGTGTGCCCGACTCTAGGGTATTATTAATTAACTTCTTTCAAAATAAGTAAAAAAAAAAAAACAAAACAAAAATCATTGTTTTTTTTACACACGCGGTATATTCTAATTTAATTTAATTTGAAATTATATAAAATAAAAAATTAAAAAGATGTTCGTGCATAATTTTTATTTATTTATTTATTTTTTACACACGCGGCAGATAAATTTAAAATTAGCAATCAAAAACATTTTTGTTCCTCAACTGCTGTTTTGCCGCTTGAGTAACAACTAAATAACTAATCTAGCTAGTGTATTTATAATTTATTTCTACATTTTGGAGACGATAATGGACCCTTTTCCCGCGAAAACGTTTATTTTTTGCTCCAGGTAAAAGAAAGAAAAGGGTGATGCGTGTTTCTAATTTTCTTGTGAGTAAACGAGAAAATTTTACTTTTTTTTTTCTATTTACTTTCACTTTTTTTTTTTGTTCCGACTACAACTTTATTATTTATTTATTTATCAACAATGACACCTTGTCGTGTTAATGGTCAGCAAAATCATTTATAAACTGAGTAATGAAGTAATGAGTTCGATCCTCAGTGGCTGCTCCATACAGCCTTGTGCACTACATCTTAGTAAATCGCTATTTTAAAATCGCGACTGGAAACAAGTTATTTTTTTTTATATTATGATCTGACGTAATTGTGCAGTAATAGATGATCTGTGTCTTTGGGAAGAAGAGACGAAAAAAAAAAAATTACCTTTGCTTTGTGTCTTTTTTTTTTTTTCTGTCTGCCACAATTCCAATTCATTCTCTTACCTGTGGAGAGACAAAATATTTTTTCTTCCTTTTCGTCTGTAAATGAAATAACAATATCGCGTTATCCGAATTTAAACCATACCATTAGCTTCCACTCTAAAAAAAAAAAAAAAAAAAAGTAACAATAAGCTACCCTTGCTCTTGTTCCACCTTCCAGTAAAAAGCAACATGTTGAAAACAGGTGGGCGGGGTGAAATTCGTAATCTATCTCTCACCTCATCTTTCTGGTAACCAAGGTATTTAACAAACTTTAGTTAGCCTTTCTCTCCATTAAGTAAACTGCAGGTGTCAAGGTAGAAACAGTGTGGAATTCGAGCGTGTTTCACTCGACACACGATAGTGGGGGAAAATCATTCGTGGTATTTCTTTTTCCTTGTCAACTTCTCTCTTTCCCTGTCGACCTACCTGAGGCGAAAAAACAACAAAAGAAGAAAGGTTCAAGCAAGCAGAACGCTTTACTTAAAAAACAAACAAATTTAGAGTTGAAGGAAAAAAACAAAAAGTTCCGCCTCATAGAAACTGTTATTATTTCTACTACAATTACAGAAGAAGGGGGGAAAGGCTACTCGTGTTGTCTACCTATCTAAATTACATTTCATTTTACACCTGCCGACCGACACAGGGGAAAGTCTTTTTTCCTTAAATTTGTTTCCTAAAGTCTCCTACACTTTCTTTTTGCATTTCAAAAACCTCTTTCTTTCTTGAAGCAAACAATTCGTGATTGTTTTTATTTTGTTTGTTTGGGTAAAAAAAAAAAAAAAAAAAATCTGATTTAGTAGCGAAATCCTCTCCAACACATATTGGAATATATAACAAACTGAGGAAATATTTACCTGGCCATCCGATTACAAAATACATATTTCGTAGCTAATTAATGTAAAAATGACAGGTAATGTTGATAATTAATTACATTTCTTTATTTGCTACTTATTTTTTTATTTAAAAAAAAAATCATCTGCCTTAAAAAAAAAACTTTAAAAGCGCGCTTTTTTTTTGTTTCCTTATTTCAAGATAAGTTGCTAAAAAAAAAGGGAAATGTTTTCTTTCTATTTCTTATGACATCATATTTATTTTGTTAGATTAAATTTAAGAAAAATATACTTGAAACTGGAACTTAAACTGGACTTCGTGTGTGTGCTGTAAATATTTTTTCATGTAATTAAAAACTCGGCACATTGTGAGTTGTGGTTGAGAAATGATTTTTTATGGTTGAATGACGACGTGTTCTACATTTCAAATATTTCTCATCAACAGCAGTCCTTGTCAAGTGGCTTTATTACAGAAAAAAAAAAGAGACATTTTCTTCAGGAAACGAAAAACTAATCCTAGAAAAACAAATCTGGCCAATAACATGTTTGGAAAAAAAAAAAAACTGTCAGATTTTTGATTATTTTTACTTTTTAACACGAAAAAGTTCAAAAACATTTCTTAAATTATTAGCTTCATATTTCCGGCGTGAATCTTGCTTGCTAATTTTTTTTTGTGCCTTTGTCGCTTTTTAAAACGATTTCACTTTTATTTAATTTCTGAAAATGAAATTTTATTTCCGATGGGGAAAAAGATTATAAATTTTTAAATTTTATTTTGGTGAAAGAAAGTCTGTTAAGTTAAGTAAGACTAAGAGGATTAAAAAAACAGTTTGATGAAACGACAGAAAAGAAGTACAAAGCCACATTTGTGGAGCCTCTTCTTGTGAAAAATCAACTTGATGTGTTTTATATCCTTAATAATACGAATTTCTAAATACTTGTGGCCTTGTGCCAGTGTATGTAAGAAATGCTCATTACTTTATGAAAAAAAAAACTGGAAATTCACTTTTGAATTTTGAAACCTGGTCCAAAAATTTGATTATCTGAAGAAAGGTTTTAAATGTTATTGTTATTTAACACCCTTGGTTAACTACACATGTTAGGGTAAAAATTATTTTAAAAATCTATAATATTGTATTTTTAAACAGAATCACATCAATAAACTGTCTTCGGCACATAAGGGCATTTTGTTTACCTCGTTTTATATTCAAACTGCCAAATTCATTGCTCGAGGGATTTGGTCCTCTAGTCATTAAAAATAGATTCTTAAAAGAAGTGCGATGTCATATAATCGGATATTTTATCCTTTGAAAAGTGTTTATCACGATTTTTCATTCGAAGGGGGCCATAAAGTTTAGTTTATTAGCCCCCCCCGCCCGAAATAAAAGAAACTATATTAATTAAGAGCTGAATATAATCTCAATTAGAAGTCACAAAACAAAATGATTATTATCCAGCAAGACGACAATTTCGTTGATTATTTATTTTAAACAGATCGATTTTTCAAATTCTGTTTATTTACTTCTTAACTAACTTACACTAGTTACAAAATTATTTTCTAAAAGTTGGTCAATCTGTTAGTGTTATGTTGACACTGTTTTATTTATTTATCTATTTTCATGATAAAAACAAGATTGTCTCTTAATGGAAGGACGAATTAAAATTTATAAAAAACATACTTGAAAGTGAATTCGTACTTTTCAAATATCAAATTTAAATATGAGCATTCTCTCTAAACTTTAGGGTGTCTGCATCTTTTTTCTTTTTTTTTTACACGCAATTTTATGCTATATTTCGAAAATCAATAATTTCAATAAATATTGAAAAATTAAAAATCATTCAACTTTAGTTTTGTTTGTTGACCAACAAATAAAACGCTCCGAAAATAATACAACCATCTACCACCTATTCACCCAGTTTTGTTTGCGTTCACAGTTCCCTCATTTCCAGTAATCATTGACTCTGGTGAATGAAAAAAAAAAACAGTTTTTTTTTACTAATTTGTAGATGTGCTTTTTGTTTAACCTTTGCTATCATGGGTAGGATTTATTACAGACATGTTAAAATTTTTCATTCTAAAACAAATGGCAAGAAATAAAATGCTTTAGGTAAGACTAAGAGGTAGATATCAATATTTTTATTGTATATTTTGAAGGTGAACAGGTGAGAATATGGGTTGGAACAAAAGTTCATAGTGTTTCTTATTTTCCTTTCTTTCTTTTTTTTTTAACACATGATTTCAGTTTACATGCTTGAAATTTTGCCACATATCCATATACTGAAATATGTGTGGCTTGTGAATTTAACCGTTTTTATTTTTAAACTGAAAATGGAGGCGATTGAAATGCATTTTTAATTCCTGAAAGGGAATAAAAAGACATTCTACAAAGAGTAAAAAAGATATGTGCTGTTGATGGAGAGGGTGCTATAGCGGAGAATAAACTTTGGTTAGCTTGATTCAGAAGTGGAAATTTTGTTCTCAGAGACTGAGACCATTTTGGCAGTTGTTGATGATGACCAAATCAAAATGTTGATTAAAAATACTTTAAATAATAAATGACTAAAAGTTGCACAATAGAGGGTATCACAGAGATACTATACAGATATATATATATATATATATATATATATATATATATATATATATACGATACAGAGATACTATACCTGTCTCATATAAGCATTGTAAGCCATGTGAAAACATTCTGCAATAATGTTCAGGTGCCTTATGATTTAAAGGACTACATTTCATCAGTCATTTTCTCCTCCAATGCAACAAAAAATGACTGGATTTTGCAGAGAAAGATCACAGGAAATGAATTGTTTACAACAATGTCGAATATAAAAGGTTCTGGGAAAACAAAAATAACCAAAATGTTAAACACTCCAAAAGTGGGTCTGCATTTGAAGAACGTGATCCTTGGGAAAACGAACAAATCCATCTCTTCTTTTGAATAGCATGATAGACTGGTCCCTTATTTGGCAACCAGTCTACCGCAGAAAGAAATAGTTTTTTCTATAGTAGGCTGCTGTCTTGTCAGTCATCAATTAAAAGAAATGATTACCCAAGTGTGTGATTTCTTGCCATTCATTTTTAGAATGAATAATGTTGACACTTTAAGAAAAAAAAAACTTCCTGATTGAATTGATTAAACGCATCAATCAATGAATAGTGTATGGAATTGGTCAATCAGAAGAGTGTCGCATCAAGAACATTTGTCTCTTTGCAGACCTGGCAGAATAGAATTCTCTGGGAGTTCTCTATTCCACTGCCATACTCACCTAACCTAGCACCTTTGGATTACCACTTATTTCCATACTGGCAAAATTCTGTGGAAACCTATAAAAGCCACTTAGGCCATTTCATCACCCAGAAAGATGGCCAAGTTCTGGGAGGATGGAATCATGGAACTGCTTCCTAGATGTAAAATGGTAGTGGAACAAAATGGCACAGAGTTGGTTGAATGAATCTGTATGAATATCTAAATATTGTCTTTGAAATTCTCTTAAAAATACAATATTCTCTGCTAAAATTTTCTACCAGATTTTCCCCCTCTCCCAGAAGAATTTTCTGAGATTACTTTGATTAGATAAGATAATGATCTTTGAGTTTGTTGAAAGAGAAGCAATGAAAATCAAGATGAAAGGAATTGTCAGTGGTCAGGAATGAAGGCATTCATTACTAAGACAATACAGGTTGTGTATGTTTGTTTTTGTTTTGTTTAGCATTTAGAAAGAATTTAAACTATTCCCCAATTCTGGAAACAAATTTGGTGAAGTCTGTTTTTTATTGTCTGCATCAGTCACATGACACCTCTGATGTTTGTGAAGGTTGAGCCTGTCATATTTGAGATTTGTCTGTGTCTGCTACGTATATTCGTTTTTGTATGATTTCTAATTAGTTTGTATTAATGTAGTTTTTTCTTTTCTATTATTTTAATCTCTGGCCATCATTTTATCATGAAAAGGTTGAAAGTGAATTGAAGAAAACAGTTCTAAGTATGAAGTTTGTCAAACAGATTTGAGGATTATGAAAACATTTCCAGAGACAATAAAAAATACTTTAAGAATTGGATGACAAAAAAGAAGCAAGTTAATTATTTTGAAGAGATAAGAGAAGGAACAAAAATACAGTGTGTCTCCAATATTTCTGAATAAATAGTAGCTTTGTTGATTGTTTTAATGGTAAATTCTTTCATAATAAACACTATATAACATACCTTTTGTATAAAAGGGAAATAAATGTTTTGAGACGTTCCTGTTAAATAAAAATAATATTTTAAGCAATTAATGGAATTTTTAAAATCCAACATAATTACTTATTACTATAAATGTTATGGTTAATGAGTACTTGTTTGTGTAGGCATGTTTGTTTTCTTTTTAGTGAAGTTAATGTCTACTCTCTACGAGGTTGTGAGTCTTACAAAAGAATTTCCCACCCAACAGGAATTGAACTTGTATTCCCTTTTTATTCTGGGAAACCCCTTTAAAGACAAGTGAGCTTTACCATTAAGCTACAAGAATCCCTTATGAGAAAGCAAGGCTCGATTACCCTATTTAAGAACTGCGCATCTCTCATGGGATCTTTCAAAGTCTGTAAAGTTAGTAGATATAAAATTTGTTAGGTTTCAACAAGAAATGTGCATTTCTTATTTAGAGTAAGAGAACTTTGCTTTGCTGTAATGGACACCCATGACTCAATGGTAAAGCATGCTTGGCTTGAAAGTTGTTTCCTAGATTAAATAATGGAATACAGGTTTGATTCCTATTGAGAGGTACATTTTCTTTCATATTTCATTCTTTCATATTTCATCTGATAGATATTAATTTCATAGGTTAAACAAAATAGAAAACTGAGACGTCGACTCAAACATGTGTACGTACAAGAATAATGATTATAGTTGTAAAACATGACACAATTGCAATTTCAAGAAGCTCTGTCAATCAACGTCTTTTCTAGGCCAATTTTCATCTGACACAGCTGCACAATAACAGTACAGCCATTAAGAATCTGAAACACTTCACATGCAGATCTAGTTCAGGTTTTAATTGATTGATTTGTTTTTTATGGCTTATCAAC